ACGATGCTCTTCAACCTAAATAGGAGTTTAATTTGAGATCAAATTAATGATAATCAATAATAAATAATTATTTTGTAAATAAATATTTTTAAAAAAATAATTAAATAAACAATTAATTAAAATTATCTAAAATTATTTAAAAATCACAAGATGTAGAATTAGAATAATGGTGCTTTCTTAAGCCATAATGAATTCTACAATATAATAAAACAACCCTAAGAATAACTAACAAGAATGTGGGTAATATGAAGTAAACTTTCCTTTAACAATGGGGAGGTATTTGTAATAATTTGTAATTATTTAAAGTTTATTATTTTGAATGTAAAAAAAAGTGATAATGATAATATATAATGATGTAATGTTTCTTGAAGAGTTTTTTATGATCAATTCTGATTATAGATTTTAGGATGCTATGTTTTAAAATACATAATATTTAAATATTATATTAAATCTCAAATAACAAATGTATACACAATTATTTAAAAATATTTGAAAAATTACAAGGTATTATAAAGTATAGTTATAGTGAATAGAATAAGCTGTAAATATATAATCCCAGGATTTTCAAATTTTGACTATTAAATACGTAAGTACAAATGTAGGTTATAAAAACAACATTTCATTCATAATATTAATATTATATTCAAACTCGAATAATAATGTTTAAACATTAAACCTATTTTTTGCAATATATTAATTTTTGTAGATTGATGCATTACATGTAAGTTTGTGAATAGTTCAAAAATAATTTGTTATATTATATATGGTTTCATGAATTTTGAATTTCAACTATAGTTGATTGAGCTTACTAAATTTTTTAAATATTCAAGAATTATCTCGATCTATTATAGATTTTATTAAATTTTTTACTAATATTTGAACCATGATATTGCTTGTTTATAGATATTGTGACATGTAATGTATGGGTAAACTTTATTATCTTATAAAATATATCTTATTACAAATTTTATTCATTGCATTTGACTTTTTATGCTCAAGACATTAACAGGCATCAGCAAGTTCAGGTAACATGTCTGCAATATCATTTTGGTCTTCATTTGTTAATGAATTAAATTACATTATATGACTTCTTTACTTGTTATTTGTTGAGATTTCTAAGTTTAACTATGACATTCATAAATGAATTGGATTCATTGAATGATCAAATATAGCTATCTAGTTTTGACTCATAAAAATTGAGAAAGACTGCTTATTGAAGATGTGAAAAAGATTTCCTGATATCCAAACTCAGATAAATTATAATTTGTGAGATTGTTATCCCTTTAAAATGAACTATTCAGAATAAGGATGTGCTTTTTAAACAAATGAATTATATCATATCTTTACAGCATACTTAAAGATAATTGATCCATGTTGTGATTTGCTGATTATTTCATTAATAATATTATTATTATCATAAAAAATGGTTGAAACATTTATATTTCTTTAGTCTATCTTGCTTTGTATCTAAAAATTTATGACCCTTATTTGAATTGATTATCTGAAGATTGCAGTAATACTGTTTACAAAGTTTCTACTATCCAGTTATGTCTAGATTTTTTCCAATATGTAATATTATTATTAAATACTTTTCAAATTACTGATAAATAATTTACACTAAGAATTTGATAATATTTATGTCTAATCTAGAATCACAAATAAACTATACTTAATTAATATCAGTTGTAATTGTTTATTGAACAAAGAAACATTTCCATCGAATAATATATTGAATTTATTCCATATTAAGATAGTATCTCATTTCTTTTTCTTTATTATCTGTTATTTTAAAATGATTAATTTTTTATTCATCATAATATTTTCTATAAGGTAAAAGGTATAATAGTCTGTATATGTAATTTTCTATTCTTTGTGCTTTGCAAGGATTATGCTGGATTTTTCATCTTAAATAATAAGAATGATCTCGATTGAGGATTTTTTACTTTGAGTATGGTTAAAGTAATGAAGTTTTGCTGTGAGAGAATTGTAATTTAACAGAATATGACTTTTTTTTAAAAAAATTTAAGGTTTAAATCACTCAAATTATTTTATCTTCTTTGCTATTATATTATTTACTAATTCTATGTTTACTCTCCATTACTGTTTATTAAGCATGAGATTAGATAATGGTTTATAAATATATTCCTATTTAAATATTTCTAAATCTTTTTTGTTATTATGAAGTATATTTTAAGCAATTCTAGAAAATGTTCAAAATTTAACCAAGAACAATATTCTGTTGCCAAATATCATTTTTTGATAAATGTTCTTCATAATTTTCAATTCACCATATTTTTAAAATGAGGAATGTATGTGTTGAATTAACTGATTTTTTTTTTTGTAAAAATGGCATGAAAACAATAGAAAGAGAGCTTTTAGTAAATTTTCATTATCTTCTTGCATCCTTAATTCATCAATTTCACTTCTAAGTCTGTCATGTTCATCTTCTAATTCTTAGTTATTTTTATTCATGCATTACAAAAAATTATAATGAATATAACTAGTAAGCAGTCTTCTAAGAGATCAAAAGTGAAATCATATATGTTTATTCTCTATGGTTTTTGAAATACTAATGCTAAGCTTCCTATGCAAATAGTCTTTTGAATTAAATATGATTTTTAATTATCTATGATTCAATTATTTTAAAATATCCAAATATTGACAGTTGCTCTTTTTTTAAATAATTGTGATAGTTGTAAATAATTAAGCCAATTTCATCATTAATTTTAAAACAAATAAGAAATGCATATTAATTGAAATTGTATGACATATTGCTCTTGTACTTTATAACATATTGTATTCTAAAAAAAAAATAATAATGAAAAATAGCATTCTATGCCCTACTTTTCAAAAATAATTATTAAAATACTATAATTCGAGTTTGTTTGTCTATTTATCTTATCTTATTTTGGACAATATAATTGCTCCATTTTCACCTAAAAATTAGCAATTATAATAATATTCAAGATGGTACTATATTTATCTTTTCTTTTATTTGTTTCTAATAGCTAAATGCTTACTAAGAGATTTTTGGATTGTGGCTAATTGATTTATTTGATATATTCTCATGTAATAATCTCCTAATTTTTTTAATGATAATAATATAATGTCCTAGTAGATACACAGTTGGAAATATTAATATAATTATTATTTCATTAACAATGTAATTAATTCCTAAAGGATTTAAACATATACATTCTTAGAAAAGTATTGAATATTAATCTCTACTTCTTTGAAGAAAGTTATTAAAACGTTCATACTTTTTATATCTTAAATTATTTCAGTAATACAATATCTTTTCAATACTTCTTCTTGTAATTGAAGCTATATTTAATGATTTATTTGTCATTAATCTAATATGCAAACAAATAATGTGTTTTTGGCTAATTAATTGAGTATGCTGCTAAAATTAAATTTACATGTAGACATAAATAAATAATTCATACAGTACTCCCTTCTCAAGTGAAGGATCTTCCATATGATACTATGTTGCAACATTAATTATTAATGCACCTACAACCCATTTTTTTGAATATATATTTTAATTAATTAAATTCAAATTATAGAATTTGAGTTCTGAAGAAATAACACAAGACAATAAGTAGCTTGTTATACTCAAGGAGATAATTAAATAATTTTAGAAATAAATTAATTTGTTTAAACCTAGACTTGAGATTTTTCTTTAAACAATAATATAGCATAGTTTTATTTTAATCTATAAGTAAAAAGAAAGATAATTTTTAAATACATTGTTATTTAGTAGATGAGAAATATCTATCAAAAGGTAAATAGCTCATGTTAAAAATATTTTATATTTTATCAAGATTAACAAGATCATTTTGTTTTGTAGGTTAATCGGTTTCTTGTTTGTTGTATTTTACTATATCATAATGGGAATATTCTTTTAATTTCAGGTTAATTCATTAATCGATTTTTTAATTCATTGTTTTCAGTTTTAAATTCTTCATTTTGTCATAATATTTTATTATGCTGAGTCAAAAGAGACTGATGCGAAGAATTTTCATGGAGTTTGCCATTATTATTGATTTTAATACTTTCTCCAAAAAAATATTTTTATTTTCTTGCTATATACTAATATATATCCAAGTTTTGCTCTCATTTTTCTCGAGTATCATATGAATGAATGATTTTAGATACTTGTTATTCAAGTATCAATAAAATTTGAAATTTGATTAAGTATTCAAAATAAATTAAATTAACTTGCCTTGGAATAATTTTTCTATGATTATTGATAATTTTAAACATATATTGACTATAAGATCCATAGGCCACTAGAAAGTTCTAGATTCAAATTGTTTATTTATCATCTCACGTAGCTTTCTTTTATATAATTTTTTTATTGTCATATCACTTTTTTGCCATAAGAAACTCACAATTTTTCTTAGTGACCTGTGTTTGGAAGAAAGCTTTTTCCACTTAGAATTATTTTATTACTGATATTTATCATTACCATACCATTTTATCATGATCTATATAATATTGCTAGCTAATAAGCAGACTATGACTTTTTGAAGAAGAGCTTTCTATTATGATTGGAAAAAATTAAATTTTTAATTAAATATTTTTTTTTTGTTTTTGATTATTTTTATGTTCACTTCTTTAAGTTGCTCCTTTATATTGAAAATTTATTGAATGAGGATTTATTTTATAATTTTATTTTAACTTATCGAATTTATATAATTCAATTTCTTTTTTAAATTTTTTTTTTAATATTTTAAAAGTTACTCGTTGGTTTCCATCAAGTTTGATATTTATAGTAAGGATGTCGCTTACCAAATCAATAATTGCATCATACTGACTGACAATCTTGTTATTTGTTATTACGTAAATACTTGCAATTTATTTTTTGTGATGATAAATATTATATTCTTGTAAATATTTTTTCTCATGTTCACTAATGGTCCTTTCCTTACATTTTCTATCCTAAAAACAATAATTATAACGTTAAAGAATTGTATTAAAGTAAAAAAAATGAAAAATTAAGGATTACCTGCACCGTATAAAATAGGTTTTTCTATCTGTTAATATTTTCAATTGATTTTTAAGATTCAAAATAAGATTGTAAATTAGAAACTATTTGGTGTTAACGTTGCAAAAAATATAAGATAACGGTTTTTTTTTTAAATCCAACGGAGTCTTGCCTCAATAAACTTTTATTAATATATTAGGTGTGAATTTTTAAAGATACAGATAATTTATTATACAACTATAAGATAACGTGGCACTGTATTGTATTTTTATATTTTCCTAAATAATAATAATTTACCAACATCAAACATCTTGTTATGGCTGGACCGATCGATCGAATGGATACTTCCCTTTCCACCAACTAGAATAAAAATAAATAAAAACGAATAATTAATGAAAAAATAAATAAATGAATATATATATTTTTTTGATAATAAAATAATATTATTATAACATTTTACCATTAAATATCCTTCTGGTTTTAAGGCTCTTTTTAATTCATTATAAAAGGCCATTTATCTTAAGGGTATTCACAACAAAAAAAAAGTTGGAACACAAGACCGAAATCGAAAGAATGATATGGAAATGGTAATCCTTCAAGAATATTGACTTTGATAAATCTATCCTTCGGAATTTTGAGTATTAGGTGATATCAACAACATTAGTAAATTTAACTTTGGAATAATTTTTCGACTCTTTTTTTAAAAAAAGAAAATTGTAAAAATCCAACTCACGAATTTATGCAGTATGAACAATAATAAGCAGTATTCACATACCAATTGCCTGCACTACACTACATAATACATCGTATATTTATATTCGGGAGTTATTCAATACAATTAAAGGAATGTTTTCACCGGCGCAGACAAGGGACAAAATTGGAACTTCCGCATCTATGTATATCCCATGCAGTTGGTGTCCAGGACATTATATATAAAATGTCCGGGATCTTATATATGAATGACATTCGAGACAATTATTTAGTTACCTTCTTCAATCTTTATTGGTTTATTAATTATTATTATTTTTATTATTATCATTCACGGATTTAATCAATGCAATTATTTTTGTATGGAAAATTAACTCATTAAAGATTGATGATGCCATTATTAAAAAAAATAGATCAAATTTTTCATTGGACATGTCTGTGTGACAACCTTTTGGACATTCCAAAGAAAATCTCAGGGATACTATTAAAGACCGGGAAAAAAATTTTGTCCACGGCGAAACTATTGAATTTATCAAATAATTACTTTAAGAAAGTATAGTTGGCATTTTATAATAAGAAAAAAATCCTTGGTTTGAAGTAAGGCAAAATGGATTAAGCAAAGGGATGAAGACGTGCTTCTTTAAAAATAATTAAATTCATTTTTTTCAAGAAATCAGCTTCAATTTTTTTAATAGGTATTATTTCTTTTTGGTCATATTAAGTTTTTTTGTTTGTTTTATTATTATTTGATAAACTGTTTAACGGGAATATTTGTTATATAACCAATAATATTTATTTAATAAAAAAAAATAAAAATAATAAAATGAATAATTTTATATATAATTTTATTTAGAAATCCTCAATGTTCACATCTAAATAAAAAGAAAATAAACTAAATTAACAAGAATTATTATAAAATATGCAAATATAAAAATATAATATACAAATTGATATTCACTAGAAGATTTTGTTAATTATTCAAGTTCCTTTTCGAAATTTCCTTCATTTTTAGGTTTTGGAAGATTTGAATAATTGAGAAGTCTGCTGGTATATATTGCTTGTGGATGTTTTATATAATTCAATGAAGTTGTAATTGTTGTTTGATTTTTGGAAAACTCTTCAGATTTTTTAATTTGAATTGTAATCTCAGTATTATTACTCTCATTCTCTCTTACTTTCACGATAATCCTTCAAGTATTTATACAATTCTTCATATAACTCTTCAGAAGTGGGTGATGTGTAATTCGAGCATCCCAGCATCGCATAATCACCCGTGTGATTAATTTGGGTGTGTGAATGGAATTTTTGTCTTAATCTATAACATATTTTCAAAGCTAACTCGGCATGATGTGGCACGTCAGAATATGGTTGAAAACCAGTAAATTAATTGCGAATGAATAAACATCAGAAGCCTTGGTACATTCTCCCCTACTTAATACTTCAGGAGCTATATAGAGTAATGCTCCGATAACATTTAACTTTTAGGGATTTTCTACACTTTTCCCAATTAATTTACTTAACACAAAATCTGATATCTTTATAATATGAGAATCAAAATTAGATGATGAAATATTTCCGAGATTAAAATCACAATGAACAATATCTAATTTATGAAGTTCTGAAAGTACATTAACTAAATTTTTTGAATATTCTAATTTAATTTCCCAATCGAAATTATTAAAATTATTATTTAAATAATTTCTAATTAATAATAATATAAAAACATCGTATATTTACGAGTTTCCGGATCTTTTGTAATTCAATAAAATGAAGAACCATCTATTTCCAATATTTTCGAGTGAATTACCATCTAGACATATTTCTTTTAAATTTTAATTAATATAGTATATTTCAAATAAATTTTCGATTAATAAAAAATATTACTTACCTCATTTAAAAAAACTTCATTTATATCTACATTATTTTCAAACTTTTTTAATGCAACTTCATAATTATTTTTTCTTATCCATCATTATTCCAATAACAAATATACCATCAACCCACTTAGCATAATAAATAGTACCATAAACACCTTTTGCTATTTGGTTAATATCTTGAAATCTATCATAAGGTATCCATTCTATTACTTTACGATCATTATCAGCATTCAGTTGAGCACCTTGAATAAATTTACCTATTGTGACATTTCCACTTCTTCATAAATCAAAATTATTTTGAAATGTATTGAGATGCACGGTCTACACCGCCAAATATTATATTTTTGATTTCATTCTCGACATATTCTGGGAATTTTCCGTACGCTTATAGTACGCAAGTGAGAAGTTTTTTTTTTTTTAAGAAAAAAAAAATACGTTTCGATGTGAGATAAACAGGTGTTTCTATTGGTTAGAAGCCAGAGATAAAAAAAAAAAGCAATTCGCTTGTTTAATATTTGAATAGCCACGCTACTGGAATGATATTCCTCAATTATATCTATCAATTAATTATATCTATCAATTGATTGAGAGATCGGCACTAAATTACTATTCAAATCTTATATACTGTAAATCATTTTTAATGCTTCAAGGAAAAAGAAGGAAAAAGGTACAAAATATCATCTATCATTGATTAGTTACAAGAACATGATTTGTCAAAAAAAAAAAATATCAATCATCTTGGTGAAAAAATATATTTCTTTGTAGCAGCTAAAGATTTTGACTTACATTTAGAAAATATAAACATTAGAACCGTTCTTTCACGGATCACGACTTAATTTTGTATTTTTGTTGTTAGTATTTCTATTCTAAAACTATTATTTCTTAGTAACATATCATTGTTTATATTACTCTGGCTAAATTTCAATATTCAGGTTGATTACTATTATTATTATTACTATGTTCTCTTAAATCTTTAAAATCAATTACATCTCTTTTACTACTAACATCCAACCGAAATTTTTTATATATTCATTATCTTCACATTTCTCAATAATTGAAGCAGTTTCTTCCATTGGTTATTGTACATTTTATGAATTTATGACTTGCAATGAAAGAAATGCCTAATAGATTTAAAATATATTGCATGCTTTACTACTATGATTATTTTACAAACTTTTATATAAGTCGAAGAATTAATAAAATAATTATTATTACTTATTTCCTTTTCTGAAACAAATGTAACTTTTCCTAAGACGAAGATTGATATAAATGTAAATGCTAAAATAAATAAATGAATTGGTTGAAGAATTAATTGACTTTGATGATGCGTTAATGATGATAACACGAAAAAGAGTTAAAGGTGGAGGAAGGAATGAAATTATTTTAGATCTTCACCACCACCACCATCATTATTATTTATAATATCATCAGCATTACCACATCATCATCATCTCATTATCATCATCATCATACAATTATCCACCAAATGTTATTCTCATAAATAATAATTTATTGATAAAGATGTTGATGATGCTGAGGTCGATGATATTGATATTATATTCTAATCAAGCAATACATAGGAGGTTATAATTATAGACCAACTACTTTCCCTACTTCTATGTAAGTAATGTAAGTAATGTAAATACTATATACCAAATAATAATAATAATAATTTCAGATCTATATATGTTAGAAGTTCTCTCATAATAACATTAAAAATTCTCAAAAAATTAATGTAAATTGTGATGATAATTCTGAGGTTGATGGTAGCTACATTTATCATCAGAATCATCACCGAGCAACTACAACATCATCATCCACATTGTCAGCAGCATTCAATATTCCTCAGACATGACAACAAATAAAAGTTGTATCAGATAATAATGATAAATTAGATACAATAAATTCCTATATCAATAAACGAGACAAACAGAACAAACAAGATCATGATAACGATAAACAAAAGATAACAATAATAATAAACACGAAATGAAAAAAGAAAAGAATAATTTGGAAGCAATAAAGAAATTATGCCCGAACAAGAAAGCTTTAAAAATGGGAATAATTAAAATTGTTTTTTATCAATTACATTATAAATTAATACTGAAGATTTCAAGAAAAGATTACGTTTATTAAATAAGTACATAAAAAATTACAGAAGTTGGGGTTTGATATTAAAATATGTATTCATAAACATCCATTCTAAATGATAAATATTAAACTCTTTGAAAAAAATAAAATTGAAGAAATAATAAAACAATTATTGCTTATTATTTGTAGGTTTGTTATAAATGCTTCGGGTCGGAATTTAAAACAAGCATAGTCAGCTTAGTCCATAAAATTTATTAAACGCGACTTGCAAAATCTAACAAAATACACTCGTTATTTGTAATAAATAAAATGAATAAAAAAAACTTCTGTATTTATTTGAAAAAAAAATATTAATTACTTAATACTTAATGTTAGACAGTGCTTTATAAATTTAATAAGGAAAATTCCAATAAAAAAGTATATAACGTTAAATAAATTTATAAATGTAACCAAATTATCAGTATCATCGTCTTCGTCTTCGTCGTCATCACCATCACCTAATTTAAAAAAAAAAAAAAAATTAATTAAATATATAAATAATTAATTATGAAATGGAAAATGAATATATAATCGATTCTTACTAGATTTTGTTAATTCTTCAAGTTTTTTTTCAAAATTTTCATCATTTTTAGGTTTTGGAAGATTTGAAAAATTGAGAAGTCTACTGGTATAAATTGCTTTTGGATGTGTTTCATAATTCATTGGCGATGTAGTTGTTGTTTGACTTTTGGAAAATTCTTCGGCTTCTTTAATTTGAGTTGTAATTTCATTATTATTTTTATCAAGATACTTATTTTTCCAATAATCCGTCCAGTATTTGTCCAACTCTTTCCCTAAC